AAACGCGCTCGTCTCTTCGAATCAATGTACCGACAAATTTCGGATCACCGTCGCGACGCGAGTTGTTCCTGCGTGCACCGGCATACGATGTGTCTCTGCGACGACAAATAACAGGCTCGTTTATATGCGAAATGGCACCGCCGCGTAAATCACGCGCTGAGGATATCGTCCGATGCCCATATCGCACATAAGCAATGTAGACGAGGAATATGCACATCGATATATTAATATCGTCTATATATACATTACGGATTACTTTTATTTATATTTTTGCCAAGAATTTATGTATATTTTACATACAACTGTTGCGCTTATCTCGTAAATCAGTCTTTTTTTAATGAGCATATCGAGATCGACATAAATATTATACTTTAAATAATCCAAATATTAAAATGAGAGAAAGTAGCAACCGTAGCGACAAGTAGCGACATAATTAATGTTGTAAAAGAAAAGCAATATATTTCCTATGCAAACGGTGGAAACTTAAGAAAGTCGTTCCACCGTTTCGCAAATTTATTTCTTGCTTTATTGTAATGTTTTAACCGGGGCGATTGTAACGCCGCGCTCGTTTCTTTCGCGCTTCGGACCATTCGCCAGGCATAAATCACGGATATCCGTTTGCGCGGAAATGCGCTGGATTTATGGTTAATTCGATTATACCGCCCTACCAACGCTGGATACCTTCGGGTCCCCATTGTTCGCGGGATACACCGACACGTCTAAGGAGAAATGCAAAAGTAATGTATATAAGCAGACTGTTTTCGACAGCGCGGATTCATCGTCGCGAGTTACGTTGATAAATAAGTTCCTGGGGCCGCTCGTTCCATTCTTCGTTTGATTTAAGATCGCGGAAAGCTGTGCGTCTCTAAAGCGCTCTCATGTTAAATTATTATACTTTGGCTGACCTACTTCGATCTCCGTACGTAATCTCGGGGCTCACTCCCTTCGATCGCAACTGCCTCTCCCGTATCCCTCGATCCGTTAAAGCAAAGTTTTCAATCGTGTATGAATATATATATACGTGAAATACGTATTATCATCTTCGAGTCATTTATATCCCCATTCTCGTCTTCTCCATTCTTCGCACTCAAAAATATTATAGAGGAAAATATATCTTTGATAATGCGATAAGAAAAGGTGCAGTCTCTGCATGACATTGAAAATCGGTTTTATTAAATTATCTTATTTCGTTATTTGCATAAGCGTATTTGATAACTTAATAAATTTATCAAGCGTTTATACAATGCGTACCGATAGAGGTTTCCTTCTGGAACAAATGTTTTCCTATTTTTTTCTTGTAGAGACCGAGGAATGCTAACGTTTCATTTCCTGCGCGAAATCGCGCGATTGTCGAGTGAGGTCAAAGAAGGAATAAAATCGCTCTTTCTCATACATGTTGACTATCCACTTTCCAGAACGAAGTGAAGGACTGTTAAGTGTCCCGGGCGAAGCGATCGGACTCTCGCATCGTCGAAGGATCAAAGTCCTGTCCGCGGCGCGCGACGCGAGAACAATGACGTTCGGAATGGAATTCCAGAACGGAAAGTCCCTGTAATTGGAAATCTCTCTCTTCCTATCCTTCCGTTCCTCTTTTCTCTCGACGCTATATATACAGCCGATGTGAAGCTGCGGAACGGCGATCGATAGTTCCTTGACACCCGTGGGAAAATCGGATACGAGAGTCCTGCAACACTCCCGCGCAGCGAGAGAAAGGAACCGCTCGGACAAGAACTTAATACGCGAGAAGGATAAGCACGATGAAAAAGAAGAATTAGTCCGGTTTTATTTTCGCGAAGATACTATGAGGCCAGAACAAAGAGTTTATCCGCGGAGGATTTTTCTTTCGGTATTATCATTCCCATAACCAGTCTTCCCCCCGGTTTTCTCTCTTTACGACTTATAATTAACGTAACTACGTAGGGCTTTCTTCTCATCGCGCATTACACAAATTCCGCGTAAATCTGTCTGCGCTGTGAGTGACAGTGAAAAATCGCGGCCGTTCGCGAAACGCTGCACTCCGCGCAAATTAACCTCTTTGCAAAAGGCCCAAATCCGTTAAACGTTTTAATTAACTTGCGGGTTTAAACAGTGTGATTTAAACGGCCGGTGAAAAACCACATTTCGCATCGGTGCGTAACGCAGACAAAAATGTAAAATTATCACGAAGTGCTGAACCGGCGAGATTCAAGATATTTCAAAACGTTTTCTCTCGCGCAAGCTGAGATCGTTGGTTTTAAACGAGCTTCGCGTGCAAAAATCAAATCTTGATAAATCGATGGTCATACTTGGTATTTAGCGATGACGCGTCTCGTCGCTTCGTTAGAAAGGAATTAGCAAGTGGATACGTTGATTGCTAAGTCGTTTAATCGGATCGCATCGTAGAATCGGTGCCAAGTCCGCCGTCTTTGAGAATAATGTGATCCGACGGATATAGATGGGCATGTTATTTCTGTCGTCGTTCTCGTCCTCGTCCTCGTCGTCAAATATAAGATCAGACTAAGGGACTAGATCTCCGCCGATCCTTCTCAGAATATCTACATATCGAGAAGCCCCTTCCCGAAGGGAAACTTCGCCGATGGAATTCGTAACGAACCTTCACGTTGTCGTCTCGCGATCGACGACTCGCTTCGTTTCGTGTCTCGCTACCACGAAGTCCTGTACGCAGGGTAATTAGATTCCGTCGAGTGAGATCAAAGTCTACCCGCCATTTCCATCCCCGCGAAAAGCTCCGCTCCCCGAAGTTTCTCGGTGCGGTCGTTTTTCTCCTGGCGGCGAACTCTCAGAGAGCGTGTCGCCGAACTTTTTCGATGACGAGATCGCGGCGGAAATCTCCTCATGCAGCGGATGGATGTAATCAATAAGTATGGAAGTATAGTCGCGCAATTGTTTCTATCTTAATATTCAAAGAAGATTCGTGAAGCTTATATATTTGAAATTTTTTTATGTCTTCTCAGTTCAACATGCTTCTTGAATAAAATTGATTGGATAATTTATGTATGGCTATAGTATGAAAAAAACATCTTTAAACATTTTTTAATATCTATAAAAGTATTATTTATACATATTGAAAATATTTTTGAAGAACCGTCATCTAACAAAAACAAATTACTATACTAGTACAGAATACTTCACTGACTATAGTTCACTTTTTCTACGATATAACTACGCCTTATTCAATTTCTTACAAGACGAGACATACAAAGACTGCATATTGACTATTTTATGATGAGGACGATAAGCGGATACAAAACAGAAAGAATTTTAAGAAAACCATTGTGCGACAGAGAGGCGTTTCAGTTTCCGAAGCATATACGTTCGATACTCGTATGTGACACCGTGAAGTACAGATTGAACAAAAGAAAAAAGACGGGCGAATCAGTACCTGAGGGCACAGTGCGCTTTTACACCTTTTTCACCGTAAATGTCTCGAGATAAACGTCCTACGACGAGCCGTCGTACATGTCGCGGCCGTCCGTCGTCTGGCGCAGCCGTTTCGCCGACAGGGGGATCCTTGTGTCAGGACGAATTCATAACAGAGTCATAATTGCGGGACGAGTCCCGCAGTATGCATAATCCCGTAGTTAGCAGTTCTGCTTAACGATCCGCGAGAAGCAATCCCGACGTACCTGCCATGGTGCAGGATGGAGGCGTCCCGGCCAACCCGTCCCTTATTACCACCCTCGCTTTCAGTCCCTCCACTCCCCCTCTTTCTCTCTCCTTCTTTCTCGTCATTTCCACAGTGTAGGGACCGTGCCTAAACTATACGCACGTAGAAGGACGAGGACACGTACCGCAGGGTACCGTACGTATGACTGGCGAAAACCGTAGGGCCTGAGTGTGACGCGACAAAAACCATGGATAAAGAGCAGGAGTCCGAGGATGAGGACAGGTCGCACTGGAAGAAGAGAGAAAGGCGAAAGGAGAGTTCGTTAATTACAATCTCTCCGCCTGCCACCGTTCACCGCAAGCGACCGCGAAAAGGATCGGAGGGAGGAAAGCGCGAAGACCCATGGCAATATCGCGTTCGGACAGTGACGCGCACCGTCAACGTGGATGGAAGTAATGAGACAGATATTGCCACTCTTTAAGGTGGAAGGAAACTTCATTCGTTTTATCGAAGCATAAAAATTTTAATCGACGAAGAATGATCGTTTTGTAAATTAGTATATACCAATTAAGTATATACTGGCGAGCATAGATAAAATTGCAATATAATTGACGTAAGTCGTATCTTAACAGAGCCATTTCGTCATTATTATTTTTAACGATTAGGTGATTATAAATTGATTATATTAAATTTATATAAATTTTACTGGCTTATTTTTCGTAATTGCAATAAGTGACGTGCTTTTGTTGATATTAAAGAATAGAGAAGTTAATGTGAAAAGTCAGATAGAAATACAAAAATTGACAATATAATACTACAAAATTGATACGTTAAATAAAACACGCTAAACAAGTTCAATTTACTCGTCGTACGTTACGTACCCCTTTCATTTTTGAAAGAATATATTTGCGAAAAGAGCACAAAAATGACAATAGCCAATTAGAGAAATATGCGATGTCGGGCGGATGTTTTGATTCTATCGGAGATAAATGCGTCAGAGTGCGCGCGAATGAGCGCTACATTTGTCTGCTTTGTTTCGTCAGCCAGATGCCATCTCGCGAGCGCGTCGACGCGAATAACGAAGCACTCTTAATTTGGCCCCGTAATTAATTATACTCCCGTTGTTCCCCGTAGCGGGGATTATCCGGCAGCGATTTGAAAAATTGGTTAAAACTCGCGCAAGTATTTATCACGCGTAACTCGTCGAACTAATCATAGTTCAGCTTTACCACTATAATTATTTGAATTCACAGTATTCACACGTGTCGTGTCGCGGCAGTCTATCGGATTATCTCGCGGTGACCGATTTGAGCCGACTAATTTATCGACAACCTCGATACACGCAGACCGGAGATCAACTATTAGGTAGATATAGCTGTATCAGCTCACTCACCCGTGTGCGTCCTTTGATGGGCCTTGAGATGCGAGCTCTTGGTGTACACCTTCTTGCACCCGGGGAATTGGCATTTGTGTATCCTGCGTTTCGTGTCGGGCGGACTGTGCTCGTTGCTCCTCGCGTGGTGCCTGTTAGCCACGGTGGTCGTGGCCGCGGTTGCGCCCGCGTGCGCGTGTTGCGTGCCGGCTACCGCGGGGAAGCCGTTCGCCGTGACGGAGATCAGTCTGCAAAAACGCGATTTGCTTGCTCTCATTTGGCCGGTACTTTAGCCTCATTGTAATTAGTTCGTTGCGCGCTGTCGAGGCGCGACATCCCGTAAAACGGAGCCCCGTGCGTGTCACGGGACTTGCCAGAGACCCCGGCCGGAGTTTAACACGCGCGAAATAGCGAGTAGCGTGATCGGTAGAATGTTGAGTAATCGGTGCACGTCTCGTGCTTTCAAAAGAAACGCGAGCGAATCGAGAAGAGCGCAATTCCGGCGACGGGTTAATGATGGATCGCGAGAGCGAATTGTTTTAAGTTTCTTACCCCGACCGTAGCGAGAACGTTCCGAGGCTACTTCCCGAACAACGTCAACTTTTTTTCAACGACCCCGCGTCTCTCTTTTTTTTCTTGTAAATTCCGTAGAAAATTGCCCGGGAACGAATTGGATGGGATAAGTCGACCCGGAAAGTACGGCCACTTTATGTCAGGTAATGCCAGTTGCAGTTAATCAAGATAATTTCCGAGCGAGAACGCTAACTATACGGCACATCCGTCTCTCGTAGGGCAAGTATCGCGTTTAGCCACTCTTTCAATTCTAAAGGCAATTAAGTTTTCATTAAGTAAGAATAGCAGCAACGAGAGAGGAGAACGTCAAAGAGGAAACCGCTGGTTCAGAAGCGGACGTTTCTTTTGCCCGACCTTTCATCACTGTAACGCGGAAAAAGGAAGAGCGTACGTACGATCGTTCAGCGGGGCAAAAACGCGAGTTTTACGACACTTACCTTGCGACACCCTGCGCGTTCCCGGCGGTAACCCTGACGATGGCACTCCTCCCGCCCGTGCCGTGAAGGTTGAGGTTGTGCACGTCGAGCATCGAACTCCCACTCGACGAGTGACTGGAGTTGGAATGACCTTGACCCGACCCGGGACTCGACGGCGGCGTCAGGATCTGACCTTCACTTTCGCACCCGCTGTCCTCCTCCTCCTCGATCTCCTGCGGCGGCAAAATTGCGCGCATTATGCAACGAGATTACGATTAATAACATAACGGGATTGATTGCATGGTCCGTGAGTCGCTGTCGGGGATTGTATTGGACTCGGACGGGTTTGCAGCAGACAAATAAACCGATGAGAATCGAATCGATATCGCGCGATCTTGCGAACTCGTTACGTTCAGTCTCGCTGCGTCGATGCAACATTGCGCGTTGAATCAGAAATTGTATTTGCGGGAAAGTGGTTTTAGTCGAATTTGAAAAAATATTTGGAAAGATGCGGTTGTCTTCACAAACAGTAGATGTATTTACAATAAATAAATCGGACGCTATTTACAACGTCCGCGATTTTCAGACTTCTCACGCTGAAATTAACTTTTAAAGTTTACAAAAGTTAATTGGATTTTAGAAAATATTTTCTGGAAATAAAATCCGGTACCAATTTTCAGAACAAAAATTCCGTCAGAATTTTTCGAAAATATTCTATTAATTTACTGTTATAAAACAAATAAAAAAATATTTCAACTTTGTATTTTTATTCGTGATTAATTATTTTTCTGATCAAGCGTGGATTTGTAGCTATCACAAATTCCAAGTGAAACATTATTAGTCGAAATCGCTAAGCCAATATAAACATACATACCTCATGCTCCTCATCCTCCTCAAGGTCTTCGCTCGGTTCTTTTTTAAGAATAAGCGCCGTACAAGACAGGGAGGGTGAACTGTCCCAGGACAGTGCTGAACACGCCGAACTCGCCGAGGACATCGATAAGGAGTCGAGGTGACGATCAAGATCCCTATCGCGGCCATTCTCGTTATGATCACCAGGACTGAATTTAATGTCGTCCAGACAGAGGGGATCTCTTTCGTCTGACGTCGTCACCTGATTTACAAAGAAGAAAAGCGTTTTAATTTCTTAAAAATATAAATCCCTTCTTTCGAACAATCCGAGGAGATAACACAGTTGTCAGTATTGTATTAAATATACATATAGGGGAGTAACGTATAAACAAAAATAAAGATTATTTATATAATATATCAGAGTTCGAACAGGAAGATCTATCTGGGATAATTTGATAGGCAGGTAAATAGTCTGTAAGCTGTCGGCTGATTACATACTTCCATTTTGATTGGGGCGTCGAATTGTGCGCTCGTTCCGGTGGACGTCGTCCATGAGATCGATGGTGCCCTGAAGAGGTTCCAGGGCGCTGTGTCCAGTTCCGTGGGGAGTTTTTTGTACGATTGTAACTTCGGCTCGTCCTTCAGGTACCTCTCCATCTCGTAGCATGTCTGAAAGAGGAGACAAGAGGGCTTGTTAGGAGACTGAAGCGACTTAAGTATCCCGCCGAGCCACTCATGGTTCCGATGGTAGCAATGGGCGGGGTACTGTGGCTTAAACTTAATAGCCATAAAAGATGGGGGAGGGAAGGAAACCGATTACGATCAGATGATATATATCGCTTTAATAGTAATAGGCTCTTCACACTTCTATAGAATAATACTTATTGTTAGTGAATATTTGAGGAGAAATTTTTCACCGTCCTGCGTAAGAAAGAAACACAACAGATCGCCAGAATAATGTAATTTAACGAGTTTATAAATTATCGGCACATCGAAATTACTTCACTTTTATCCAGCTATAATTAAAGCTCGCATAAATTATGTTAATCGAAATCATGCATGCGACAATATCTCGATTAGACAAAATATAAATCGCATGATATAAAAAACAAAAAAATTTTTTTCAATACATTAATCTACTTGTAAGTATAGTGACAAATGTCTGAGGCGATTGCGCAGTCCGCAAATGCTGCAGAAATTATCTTTAGAAGTCAAGCATCCCCATATGGGAAAGTACATCGCCGTCAACGCAACTACTCGTGAGTTTGCGAAGTTGATGCTCTCCCGTAGGCTGTGCCAGTTTGGTACAGTTCCTTGGAGAGAGTACAAAGTTATGCTACTCACTGCGAGGAATTATGCACCAACTATACCACACAAATGAAATTATAGCACCCCGTTCTGGCTAAGTCTCCTTTGGGTCCTTCGTCCTGTCGACTTCTCTTTGAACGAAGGCTTCGTACAGCGAATAATCACGAAATAATAGTTCGTAATTTTAATACGTACTGTATATGTATAAAGTTTCAAGTGTAACAATGTTATAAAACAATGGTCTGTTTGGTTTTGCAAAAATTCGATTATCGATTCTTGCGGGAATCGATTAAGACCGTCCATTTTCATTCAACGCCATTGTTTCCTACTTTATAATAAAATTCTTTACATTTGTTATAGTCAAAGAAAACGTAAAAAAAACACCGTAATGCGAGCGAAAGGCAGACGATGGACAAATAAGAAATATTCAACGTGTTTAAACTTCACATATTGTCATTCGCTTTCTTAATTAATTGCAATTTTGCAGTAACTTTAATTTTCTAACATCCATTATATTTACGCATAAATGATATTTATATCTTCAATTCGTATTGCTTTAGTTTTTCTTATTATTATTGCATATTGCATGATACTATTATATCACTATCGAGAGCACCTTTTTTAATAAGTTTCTGCAATCATCAACAACAATATTAATTATTGAAAACGGTACGATATTCTGCGAGAGTATAAATTATACCAGCGTTGAACAGCTATATTATTTTTCTTTCCGCCTGCAAGCTAAAAATGATAGCTGACGCAAGCATTCTTTGTGCACTTTGGTATCTTCCTTCGGGCATTGTCTGCCAATTTATTATTCGCCCTAACGGTTACCATCAGGAGCGACGGTTCTGTCTGACGCTATTACAAATGAAGCTATTCGCCTTCTATAAAGCTACTTTAAGAACGTTTGTTACATGCCGACGCTGGTAGCGGTATAATATAGTCCATCGAGAAATATGTTCTTAACGTCATATGGCAATCACATATCTTAATAAACAGCCTCTTCGTATAGCGGACAATTAAATTAGTGTCCATCTCCGCTTCTTAAATACAGAAATTTAAGAATAAAGCGCTTACAGCCTGTTCTATGTCAAGCCTTCAATGAAAAAATAGTGCGCGGAAACTAAGCGAATTAGGAACTGTTTTGCGCTGAGTGAATCGACTTTTGAAGCCGCAGTCATAAAATTAAAAGGAGGGAGTGCATGGGGGGGGGCTTCCTTAGTTATCTTTAATACCATAATTTACGATAAGTACGTCTAGAATCAAACAACGAGCAAGAAAGCCAAGTCTATTTTCCCGCCTGACAAAGATTCTTCGGGAACTGCAAAAAATGGCTCCGCGCCGAAGTTCGAGGGCTGCGTCTAATGCCGTCGGTCCCTTCTGCGAGAAAAATAATCGCCGCCGGGCTCCTTCATTATTCACGATTAAAGTTCGTCCGGGGGCACCGTGGGTACGACTAACGGCGTTAATATAACTTGGAAAGGAATTTTATCACTCGCTTAGGGACCGTTTCTCCTTCCCCAGGGCTTGCTCCAGCATCAACTGAACTTTACTAATCCTGACCTCCGAGGCACAGCTCTATATATAGACGGCGATCGATTTATCCCGTCGACTTAATCCGTCAGAAAATCTTCGAGGAAAACAACGTTAATCGTCGTTGCAAATAGAACAATATTAATGCGTTCGAAGCCGTGAGAATATTGATTAATTCTGTCTAACCAAAGGCACTTAATGTCTAAATAATTAAAACATTTTAAGTAAATTTTTAATAAAACACTTTAACAAAACAAACAGACAAACAGAGAGTGAAAAAAATTATAGTCTTATGGAGCTTTACGAAGGGGAATGTATATTACTATTAAAGTGTCTCCTTTCATTATAGAAATAACGAAGAAAATATTTTAGTAGAATATCGAGAATAATCAGATATCGAAAATAGATAGTGTTTATATGATGAAAACTCTAGTATCAAAATACCGTCGACTGTTACGAGGTAATGTACGTTATATTAATATTGACTCTGTGCAGCGTCGTAACTCCACCGCAAAACAGGAAGCAAATGCATTTACGAGGCTACGTACGACTCGCGTTCGGAGAAACGGAGTTCGACCTTTCGCAGTTTCTAGATTATTCCGGGAAGGTGGATGGTTTCGCGGAAGATATTTTGATTTTCTTTGTTTCCGTAATGGTAAATCGGCCTCGCTGTGCCGCCTAGGAGTGCGCTGCGCGCGACGGGATCGCCGGGAAAAATACCCGGGAGCTTTCTAGTTAAGCGCACACTCGTAGCTTTACGACTTCGCGGACGCGAGCCAAAGCGCGTCCTTTTCGCCATTGGCTCCGTTAAATCCAAAACTGCGTAATAATTTAGAAGCTCACGGGGCGAACCCCGTCTGTGTGTGCCCCGCGCGGTCGATACCAATAGCCACACTAACGTTTTCCGTCGGAGTGCCCCATAAGCATCCGAATTGCGGAATTCTCTATTACGCTTTTCGCGATGAGCCCACAAGCCATTCGCCTGCCGGATTTATGCGACCCTTCGTCCGCTCTCTTCATCATTGCCATGAAATTCCACCGGCGAAATTATACAATATTTGAGATCTTGTTCACTCGTCTCGTTTACACGGCTATTTTAAATATGCAGGATCTCCCTCTCTCTCTCTCTCTCTCTCTCTCTCTCTCTCTCTCTCTCTGTCCTCGTCGCTCCATTATCACGTCCCGTTTTCGAGTTTTCGATTACATTTCAAATATAAACATAACTTAATTAAATGCGAGAGTCGTGACGTGTAGCGTATTCAATATTGATGAACAACAAGTACATGATCTCGAAGTTATGTCACCAATTTCTACGGATGATATTCCTCTCGTGGGACCTGAGCAAACACTCGTTGAGTGCGAATTTTTTTTTACGATGTTTACTTTCTTTTAGCTGACGAAGGGATCGCGCTGCGAGGGACAGTGGCAATAAAAAAATTCCACGGATCGATAGGCCGAATGCTCGATGAAAAAGGACGATGAAAGGAGACAGTCTCGCCATTATGTTTTTATAGGTAAACCTGTAAGCCATTTGTAGCGAATTTATGAGGTTTATAGCGATTCCGCTGCATCACATATACGCGATCAACGAAAACATGCTCGTTGCTCGTCAAACATCGTGTCGTGCATTAAAGTGCAATTATATTCGGATATCGGGAATATTTTAAACGCGATCAGAAATATCAAAAGCGCGATTAAATTTCAGACTTTTAAATATCGGTATTAATATCTACTTATATCAAGAGAGACTTATTATATTATATATAGATAAAGTATTATACTATGTAGGCTAAATATATTTTTCATCATCAAAATTGTCGTGAAGCACATATCACACCATATTGATATATTTATTCTTACTAGTTTTTAGATTTAAGCGCATTATCTATAATTCTATATAATACTATGAAATTCGGCACCAACTTTAATGTTCACATAAATCCTTGATAACAATAGTAAAAAGTGGCATATATAGGAGCAAACTCCTACGGTCTCGCAGGAAATACAATTTGATTTTCTGGCGACCTAGAGGCAATTACGTTTCATTCGGTATCGCGTGATGTTGTGGTATCAAAAGACATTTGCGGTTTTTTATTTCCCATGGAACCACGAGGACTTTCTACATCCGACCAACGAGGTCATATCTAAAAGGGAAAACGTCTTCGTCGGGCTCAATGGGCGCAGAAACAGTTCGGAGATAATGGTCACTCCCTACGACCGATAAGACCGTTCTTAATGATAACGGCGTCATTTCGGAGTTTGTGTGGGATAGAGAACTCGATTCGTCGGTGGGCTATCACATTGGACAAACAGTAGGAAGAAGAAAAAAAAGAAAGAGAAAAGAAAATTGACCGGATCGTGGAGCGGAGCGCGAAATCTGAACGGGCAAAAAGGACATCGAGAGCCCCATGTTGGATTCTCAAAATCTCTTATCGCAGCTCGCTCGTAGATCCCTGAAAGCCGGACTCTTCTCTTTAGAGGCCACCCCGTCACCTCACTCTTCTCTCCTTCTGCCCGTCTCTCTCTTTCTCCTACGACTATAGTTTACGCAAACTCAAATCTTTACTCAACCTCGCGAAGACGCTTCGACAGTAACGAGGCCGGAATTCGCTGGATCTGGCGGTAACAATAAAATAAAGTATTTTCAAGGAGACGCGCGCCTCTCTGGGGCGACAGGCTCGAACGTCGAGAATGCAGCTGGCAAGAGACTCGACGATGGGAAATGCTAAGAGGGAGGAAGCGAGCAGCGAGAAGAGAAAGCGAGCCATCCCGGGAGTAGAAAGATAATCTTTGCCCGCGTTGGCGGAATTTCGCGCGGTGGATTC